ACATTTTCATTTTGGAGTGAGTTATACTTGAGCTGTGTCCACAAATATCTGCATGGAGACAATTCCACGGTATTTTGTTTGATTCCTTGACTTTATGATCACTTTCAGATTGTGTTATCTTCATGTGTTAAAATCTGCTATAATGAGGCTTCATTCGATTAGCTGTTACCAACAACCGCTTATTGATTGATCTTTTACAGGTTCAGTGAACAAGAACATTGTTTACTAAAACCTCACCTCAAAAAAAGATTAAAAAAAACCTTTAAGACTTTGAGTTTTCTTCATTTTTAACATAAAAACAAAAGCACTAACCAGGTAAGTGGACAAACAGTAATACATAACCCAGAATATGGGTCTTCATAGATCTCTGTGTGTGTGTGAGTGGAGGAAAATGATCATACAGCAGTAAAGCTGGTTCTGTTCTTAAGAAAAAATACTGGCCACTGTGCAACAATGAACCACCTTCAGCACAACCTGCTCAGATTAAAAAGAGTCTTGCTCAGCTCAAAGTTTGCAGAAAAAAAACAAACTCCATTCATAAATGTGCTCTTTTGCACACAATGATGCACACCTCTACTCTGCTATAAATGCTGCCGAGGTCTCATCACTGTAACTTCCTCTTTTAGACAGAAGGAGGAAGAAGGATGGTTGCTTCACATGCCTCATTATCTCTGCCAGTAGAAGGTATGTTGAGTCAGCCACAAACTGAGCAAACGTTCACTGAGAACTCCGTCTGTGTGTGAAAGAACGGGTTGTTCCTTTAGCACACAGGAGGAACAGTTATTGAGGTTTTTAAACCCTCAATCAAAGGTCAACCGTTGGAGATAATGTCCCATGGCTTAATATTTTATTCTGTTTAAACAAAAGATGTCATATCTGTACCTAGCTCAAGGACAGCTACAAGGTAATATATTCTAAGTTAAAATAAAACAAATGCTTTTGAGTGTAACATTAAAAGTTATCAACATTCACCCCCTGAAAACTTCTAGCCCTTAATACATTTTATTTTCTTTAAATAAGATTTGACACTAAAATATTTCATGGTATCCAGATCAATTAGTTGGTTTTAGACGTCACAGGTGTAACTGGCAGCTTTACCTAAGTGTCACTGTGTAAACTAGTGCTAATGTAAATGATTACTTAAGTATTCAATGATTTATTCTGACAGTTATTAAAGCAATTGAATAAAAATACATTTCACAAAATGTAGATATTTAATTTCAACATTTATATTTGATTTAACAGCTAATTATATAAGAAAAAGAAAAACAATACAACTCCTTGTTTAAAATTAAAATCAACAATTTAATGCAGCAATATAGCACAGAGGAATTAAAAAATCGTTACTAATTTGACTGAAATTGATTGGACTCGGACCATATATTCCCAGTTCCAACGCGCCATGCCACACTACCAACCACATTGGTGCAAAGACAACTTTAAACAAATCAGTCAATTTTATATCATGCATTGGCAGTCCCTGGATCTCGCCTTCCTTTCATCTTTAATGCCTTGCTTTAAAGCTGAACACCCCACTCCATCATCTTCTTCTCTTCGCACATTCATAACGTAACCTTGTTAACTTTCTTTTATCTCTGCAGCATCAAGCAAATACTTCTCTTATACTTTTACCAAACTGGTTTACAGTAAATTCACCACTTGATGTGACATTTTCAACTCCCTTCCCTCCATAATCTGCAACTAGTACAAAGAGAGTTGTTCAAATCATTTCATCATCCTCTTCCCATTTCACCCCAGTGCTACATTAACTCTACTGGAATGTTTAATACTGAATGTGATATCTAACTTCCTTTCACATTTAGTCTAAATCAATTATATGATCTTATGATGCATACCTCAAACTGTCCAGGTGGAGCTGCATGGTTGCGCAGTTTGTAGCACTGTTGCCTTGCAAAAAGAAGATCCTGGGTTTGATTCCCAGTCTTTCTGCATGGAGTTTACAAGTTCTTTCCAGGACCCTGGCTTCCTTTGACAATCCAAAAACATAACTTTCATAATTGCAGTCTCTAAATTATGTGAGTCTATGGGCACCCGTTGCCCATAGACTACCTGAGATATGCACCAGCTCTACCGTTACCCTTATGGATATGCATCAGAACAAAATGGACAGAGTGATCTATCCAAGTGAATGCAAGTTCACTTCCTTACTTGAGCTGGCAACACACCTACTAAAGGAATGCCATCTATCTGGGCACCTGGGCAGTAACTTAGCAGTTGGCATTAGCTTTTAGCGTTATTCATTTTTTTTTCTTCTCCATAATAAACTATGTTATGTATCCTATTATAATCTTGTGTAGTTCTATGTTTTATCTATAGTGTTGGTACATTTAGATATATTTCCATATATATCTACAGGTGCCTTGATTATTGTAACTGTTAAACCAGCTGAGGAGATGTGCTTTAGATAACATGCGGCAGCTCTGTATTATTCCTCCACTTTTTTCCATATACCTGTCTTAACTGATTTTTAGAAAGCATTTTATGCACATGCAGATGCCTAGCAGGTAAAGCATTTTGCAACACCACCCAAGAATTTTCTAATTTTAATTAATTTCATCCACACCATCTGTATTTATTCTTGACTGTTACAGGTCAATATATTACCACTGTTAAAGAGAAGGGAAATCCATGCTAAAAAAGCCTGAGCTAACATGTTATTCTTCTTTGACAAATAACAAGGAGATCTCTGGTTGGTCGCAGGCATTTAAGATGCTAGGGGGAAGGGAGTAAACCATGGTATGTGATCAAATGGTATGGCCACACCAAGAAATAAGCAGCAAAGGGAGACGTTCTCGTGTGTTATCAATCCGCTGCACATTTTTACTCGCTAGCTTTTATATATTCAAAGAAAACTTTTGAGCACCACTCTCATACATCCCATCTGTGATCATTGTTTGATGTTCTTCCAAAGGTCAAAATGATATAACACCGGAAAACCTCAAACTGACAGGTCTGCCCTACTCTAATGACACAGGTTCACCTGGTTCTAATGGTTTAGAACAGAATCAGTTTACTCATACTCGTCATCTTTTACATATCAGAAACTTGTTTGGGAAGCAGGTCAGGAATTATAGGCATCTCAGCAGAGAAAAAAAAAGAAATCAAGTCGATGTATTGTTTTTATCATTTTCCAATTGATGCAAATCCCTTCAAGCAGCAGAACATTTTAACCTGTGATTATGTATTTTGTTCAATTTTGAACATTTCTAGAATAGGATGCACCTACAAACCAATAAATAAACAACTAAAATATAATCTAGAATCAGAATGTCAAAAGCTCAATCCTTCCTGGTCTTCATTCGGATATTTCCAGCTGTCTCTGTTAATTTGCATAAATTAAAAACTGCAAACAAATCAGACTGTAAGATTGACAAGATCTTTGCAGGTTTTATAAGAGAAGTTGCTCTTTAAAAATATTTTCATTTGCTTTGTTGATCCCATAGATTCAAAATGCTGCTTTTTTCAAAGTTCTACTAAAGTTGATTTAAAGTGAGAATTAAAAATACATGAGTGACGTAGTCTTGAATGTAAAGGTATAGGCTGGCGGGCGCATTCGCCCTTGTAACATATGTTTCAGATGGGATTTATATGGGATTTTATCTAGAGTGGAACCATTTTAGAAATAAATAACATAGTAGCAATATCAAATTCTTTAACATTCTTCGATTTACCAGAAATATTCCTTAGTTTTCTTTTTTTTTTTTTGCTAGCATAGCTTTGCAATGCTGCTCAGAAAGAACATTGAAGCAGGTCTTTACAGTTCCGGATTTGCGCCTGATTATGCGGTGGGGATTGGGACTTTATATGCCCTTTATCATGCAAAATTCTGTTTTACGAATGTTTGAGATTCGAAGAAAAAGAGTAAACAGATTCATCCTAATAATGTGGATAATAACAAGTCCTTTACTTATTGACTAACGGAGCGTTATTTAGGACACTTTAAAATGAGCGGGCTGAAATAATTAATCTGCAGATGTTACATGTAATCAAATGCCTTAAAAATAACCCCCATTAGCTGTATTTTATAATATAGACAACCGGAATTTGCCTTTTTGTACAGGGCTAAATAAAAATTGTGCACAATATTTAGACAGTATTATATATACAGTATACAGAAATAATGATGTGACTCTGAGAAATAAAGATTTGGCAGACATGATGAGTTGGTTGCTGTAGTACATTTTATAGAAGTTCTCTCTACTTGGGGATCAATATTTATCTTGTCCAACTATCTCCCACCTTTCTCTACAGTTCTTTAATTGTAATAAACTAGAATTACTTTTCAAAACTAGAAAACATGCTTTGCATAAAAGTCTTCACAAAGTAAGCAAAACAGAAATGACGTATGTGGCTCTTTTGAAGCTAAACCCAATACATTTTTTAAAAGCTTGTGGTGCAGCATGAATATCCAGACCGTGAGGTTAGCCACAGTTTCTTTTTAAGCCACTTGCAGCATTGTGCAGACATCGTTAATCATGCAAAGTCTTGGGTTGCCAACTAGATCAGGGATCTTGGCACAATGAAGTGGATATAAAGCTCCCTAAATCAATATGATCAATAAGAACTCAATGGCTTTGCTTCTTGGCAGGTGAGTAAAACTGGACGTGTAATTTGAATCAGCTTCATCTGACCTTTACTTCAATTTTTGTTTCTACTTTCAAATAAATACTATATATATATATATATATATATATATATATATATATATATATATATATATATATATATATATATATATACACCCCCAGAGAAGTGAGGGTTATTGTGTCAGTTAACATTTTAAGGGGCTAGAGTGATGAAGAGGAGGTAAATGATGTTGAGTCAAAGGTGGGTTAAATGGAGAGGCTGATTGATGGGTTCATGGATCCCAGTCAAGGCATCTGAGGAAAGGTGGACGTAATGGAGTGGAGAGGAAGGAGGGGACGGCTAAATGAATAATGAGGATGTGGAAAACTGATGGGACGTGCAGCGCTGCGTACCTCAATCCACCTCATGCTGCGGCTGCTGACAGGGCTGCAGACGGCTGATGGGTGGACTGAACCCCGCTGCCTTCACCCTCCATCACCGCCTCTTTAGTCGTCCTCTGCCTCCCTTTTGTCTATTTGCACAGACACCTCGGATGCGTTGGATGTGTCAGCGACCCTCCTGCTCCCCATGCCTGCAGCAGCTCAAGTAACCTGCGGGGTTTGGTTCTCCTCCTGGAGCGACTCCCTTTTTACCCCCTCTTCTCTTTCGTTATATAACTGTTTTTCAAACAATAAATTCCTGCTCAACAATGCAGTTTCCAGTTTGTTTCCTAGATCTCATCCAAGTTTATCCTTTTCCAGAGAAACGTCCATTTCGTATGAAAAAGCGCATCTCCGCACTTCCACCTGGAGCCGACCCGCTGGAGGAAGAAGGAGCGCAGCGGCGATGGAGCTGCAAGTAAGCGGCTGCTCCTCCACGGTGCCTAGCCTGGCTGCTGGGCAGTGCAGTTGCAATGAAACGCGATGGAGGAAAACAGAATTACAAAAATATGAGCTCCCACCTTAGTCCGGTAAACAGCGAAGCATAAACACCCAGACTCCTAGAAGGAGAACAAAAGCAATAACTCATCTACCTTCCCCTCCTGGCTTTGCCTCCTCTTCTTTTTATTTTCTACTCTCCTGAAGGCTTCCTCTGATATCGTTTGGACTCCTGTCAGATTTCTCAGCTGGTCCAGACAGCTGTTAGTCCGTGAAGGCTGTCTGTCAGCTACCGCTACACTGACGGACCTGGAGCGCGTCACTGCGCTCTTAGTAGAGGAGCTCACGTGACCCAGTTATTCTGTTATGATGCGTTTAAGGGGTGTAAGTACGGAAGAGGATTAGGGCCACTGGGAAAAAAAAAGTTAACAGATTTTAAAATATTATTTCAGTTAATTATGGGGAAAAGTCTGAATTCTGACTTTGATCTCAGAATTCTGACTTCTTTTTCGGAATTCTGACTTTAATCTCAGAATTTTGACTTTTTTTCTCAGAATCCTGACTTTTTTCATTGAATTCTTATTTTTTTTCTTCTCAGAACTCCGACTTTAATCTCAGAATTCTGACTTTTTTCTCAGAGTTCTGACTTTTTTCATAGAATTGTGACTTTTTTACTCAGAATTCTGACTTTCATTTTAGAATTCTGACTCTGATCTCATAATTCTGTCTTTAATCTCAGAATTTTGGATCTTAATGTAGATGGGCAGCAAGGAGGAAGAGATGTGGGAGCACTTAGCTTCACTAAAAGATGTGAGTCTTTTTTGGGGGCCAATAACACATTAGTGGAAAATGATGGAATTAGGCGAATTTTTACATGCCCAAGGGTTCCTCCGTGATGCTATTTCATTAATAGAAGGGCAGAAGGTGATTAAAACAAGACAGCTAGTTTAGTCTCTAAAACAGACATGGCTTGGTGCTAACATGTTTGTCAAAAAGTCAGAATTCTGTTAAAAAAAAAAGTCTGACTTCTGAGATTAAAGTCAGAATTCTGACTTTTTATTCATATTATAATGAAAATTTTAAAATCAGTTAACTTTTTTTATTTTTTCAGTGGCCCTAATCCTTTTCTGTATGTAAGTGACAAAAATACATTAAGTTTTTAAAAATACGGTGCTTACACAAAGAGCTAAATAAAAAAGGAAATAGTCTAACCTTAAGTCAAGAATGTAGGAGAGTCAGAAGAATAATGGCTTTTCATTTGAACTGCGGTTTTTAAACTCTTTCTTACTGGCTTCAAACACGCTTAATGTTCTGCAGTTTAAATTAAGTATTAAATAGGTGCAATGTATTTACGCTCCAAGTTTTCACAGAGAGAATTCTCAGTGCTTCCCAATAGAATAACACCACAGAAGGAGTCACAGTATACAAGGCAGAACATAAACACAGTACATTAATATATGCATATCATCCTATCATAAAAGCTGAAGTCTAACCGAATGGTTGTTGACAAAAGATGTATTTAGCTGCTTTCAAAGGTCAACAACATTCTCCAGACAGTTTAGTACACACAAAATAACAATTCCTGCAGATTTATCAGCTTGACATACAAAATGTGAGTCTTTTGTTCCACTATTATATATATATATATATATATATATATATATATATATATATATATATATATATATATATATATATATATATATATATATATATATATATTAGTGAGCCACTAATCCATGAGATTAGTGGCTCATGAATATCAGTTGTTGAATTTGGGTTAAGACTAATAAAACATTATAATATATTTATATACACACACACATGCAAGATAGATAGATAGATAGATAGATAGATAGATAGATAGATAGATAGATAGATAGATAGATAGATAGATAGATAGATAGATAGATAGATGGATGGATAGATAGATAGATAGATAGATAGATAGATAGATAGATAGATAGATAGATAGATAGATAGATAGATAGATAGATAGATAGATAGATAGATAGATAGATAGATAGATAGATAGATAGATAGATAGATAGATAGATGGATGGATGGATGGATGGATGGATGGATGGATGGATGGATGGATGGATGGATGGATGGATGGATGGATGGATGGATGGATGGATGGATGGATGGATGGATGGATGGATGGATGGATGGATGGATGGATGGATGGATGGATAGATAGATAGATAGATAGATAGATAGATAGATAGATAGATAGATATTTTAAACCCTTATATCTACTTAATCCAATGATGCCATGACAAACCCGACCTACATTTAAAATCAGTAAACTAAAATGTTGAAATAAAATAAAAGGAAACAGGGAAAGTTATTCTGACAACCTATATAATTCAAATGGCTAGAAACAGGAAATATGGCAAAGAAATATTAAGAGAGGATCCACATGCATTTTTATCTAGATATTTATCCAAAAATAAACAATAAGGAATTCAGTATTTTCTGAATTTAGGGATGGCTTTGGTAGAGGTTTAAGTCCTCACCACTTATAAGAAATATAATACTGACAGCTAGACAAATGCATGTTTTACACTAGGAATTACAGCAACATACTGCAAAACATACAGTGGGCGCTGATTGGAAATGGACACTTCACTCACGCTCCGCGTGTTTCACGTATTGTGTGAAAAACATGTGACTACTATAGCCACTAGGTGGCAGTCTGACTCCATTTCGGCGTCCCATGAGTCAGAATTACATAGGTCGAGTAGCAGACTGGAAGGGGTGTCATGGGTTGCGAGTTTATAGCGCAGAGGTTAAGCTGAGTGGTCTTTGGTTCAATAGACTGTGGGTTCAATCCCAGCTGTGGCCGAGTTGCCTTAAATGTTTTTGTTTTTTTTTTATCATAATTATTATCGCTTTTTTTATAAAGTAATGAAAGTTAGAATGTAAAGTAATGAAACCAGGTTTTCTATTTTTGAAACAACAATTGGAGTTATTCGTTGGACATTCACGCATGAGCCTGTATAAAAAGAGGAGCTGACCAGCTCCTTTAGTCAGAGACACCGTGTCTGTACGTTTGTGGGCCTGCAGTCAACTGAAAAGCAGGTTTATTGGGGATCTTGGTGTGATATTGTTCTATTTTATTTTGTTTTTGATTAAAATAAAGTTAATGAATTAATTTAACATTGGGACTGCATAATCTTATTTCATGAAAATGTTTATAGATAGATTGATAGTAGTTATAGATACACCTCCGATCTTATCTGAGAACTGTTATTTCTATTTATCTGCATCGCTATTATTTAATGAAAAATAAAATTAATTAAGTTGGAGCCGGGGATACAGACTGTAGCGCAACCAGAGAAAGGCGACAGAGACAGTGCTGCGGCTGGTGATGTTGAAATTAAAATCATATCCAAAGTTGATTCCTCATTAAGATAAGCCAAAGTTATTCAAAAGGGTATGTAAGAAAATATATTTTCTTTAGTTTTGTAAAATATAAGTGCCGTTGAAAGCTTTGTTTTTGTGTGTTACTTTCTTGCCGTGCAATACGTGACACCCCTCCCAGTCTGGTCAAGTAGCAGACTGGGAGGGCTGTCACGTGTTGCGAACTTATAGCGCAGTGGTTAAGCTGAGTGGTGTGTATACTAACAACTTGTGGGTTCAATCCCAACTGTGGCCGAGTTGCCTTAAATGTTTTTTTTTTTTTTTTTTTTTTATAAAGCATCTTAATGCACCTTTTTCCTCCCTGTTTGCACCTCCAGTAACTTCTATGCCAATATGTGACGAGTGAATTTCTCCGCTGTGAGATCAATAAAGCTCATCTAATCACATCTACTCCAATCTAAATAAATAAATAAATATACACATGTTCAATAAATAAATAAGCATTCAATTAATTACCCCCAATAAATGGTGAAATGATATGTTCTCATAATAAATCATTTATTAAAAAAATTCTGTTATGTTCCTTTTTTTTTTAAATTCCTTTTAAAATGCTTAACTATTTTTATTCTTTTATTTTCTTTCAAAAAATTACTAGATTTTAAAAACACTCATAGGTTTTGAAAGGTATTATATATATATAGAAACTAAAACGCTCGGATCTTTCTGTCATTTTGTGTGCGTGTGAAGCATCTGCAATGTTTTCGTTAAATATTCAAATAAATAAGATGGACTTTAAACTAGCAGACACGTTTGGATTTTTGCCATTTAATTTTTTTATTTAATTTTAAAAACGAAAGAAATGGAAATGGGGTTTGACGAAAACCAGAAATATGGTCTGCCTGCATTCATGAACAACTTATGTTTGTGAGACCCCCTACCCCTCAGGACCCCCGCCTAATCAGTGCAAAAAATAACGACAAATGGCTTTAGCAGGTTATTCAGAGTTGACGCGGTACTTTGCAGACAACTTACTCTCTTGTTCTCTGACAATAGAATTCAACCACCACCATTTACAGAGACCCCCTCCCCCTCACAGCTCAACTTTGTGGTGTGTGTGGTGTGTGGGGGTGTCACGTATTGCACGGCAAGAAAGTAACACACAAAAACAAAGCTTTCAACGGCACTTATATTTTACAAAACTAAAGAAAATATATTTTCTTACATACCCTTTTGAATAACTTTGGCTTATCTTAATGAGGAATCAACTTTGGATATGATTTTAATTTCAACATCACCAGCCGCAGCACTGTCTCTGTCGCCTTTCTCTGGTTGCGCTACAGTCCGTATCCCCGGCTCCAACTTAATTAATTTTATTTTTCATTAAATAATAGCGATGCAGATAAATAGAAATAACAGTTCTCAGATAAGATCGGAGGTGTATCTATAACTACGCAACCATTTTCATAAAATAAGATTATGCAGTCACTTGACTGCATAATCTTATGTTAAATTAATTAATTAACTTTATTTTAATCAAAAACAAAATAAAATAGCACAGTATCACACCAAGATCCCCAATAAACCTGCTTTTCAGTTGACTGCAGGCCCACAAACGTCACCCTCAGCACGGCAGAGGTCCCAAGCGCCACCTGGTGGTTGTCCGGGTACATTGCAGTTCTTTTTGAAATAAAAAAACTGGCCTCAGGAAATACAACGTGATTCACGTGGGAATCACACAGGAATCACGCAGGAAACCGTCCATTTCCAACCAGTCCCCACTGTACAGACAGCTATTTCATGTAATTTTCTATATAGGTTAACACAATATTTCTTTATAAAAGCCCATATGCATACTGATATAACCTGAAAAGTTCAGGTTGTCAGTAACCTGAAATTCTCAAAACACTATTTTAATGCACAAAATTTCACCATAGGATTGAACTGTATGTGGATTTAAA